AAAGTCTAATAATTGAACCCCCTTGACCTTCCCAGCACTGTCAGTGATCACAGAACATGAGGAGATCATGTGGGTTGGCCCAGCACCCAACACCCACAGCAACCACAGCCTGCAAGTGTCACTGCAGGTAACAGTGACACACCTGCCTTACATATTCTCACAGGTCAGCTTTCAAACAATAAAAATAACATTAGTCCAGCCCATGAAATCCTAAATTACAGTGTCAGGTGCAATCTGATTTTCAAATGAAACTGAGTTTCAAAAACACTCAAAGGGGTTTGAAGTAAATGGAAAAAAAAAAAAATCCTTCTTCCCCTCTGTTATCATCATAAAATTATCAGGAGCACAAACCCATCCATTCTAACCCCCCTCTGAGGTGATCTCTGGCCACAACACATTTTTCTCCGAGTCAATTAGCTCTTGATTAGGGAAAAAAGTAAAAGATGCTTTGTCATCAATGCCTGGTGCACAGGCACTTAAAGCAGGCACCTTTCCACAACTCTGCTTGGCTGATAATTCCCAACACTTACTTTTTATCTTACTATACTTAAAATAGGAATGCAACCACACTGAGTAACTCCTGGTGAAATCACAATGCATTTTTAAGTCTCCAGGTTGGCCCACAAGGAGTTTGGCAGAATTCAAAAGCTCTCCAGGGACAGAGACAAATATAAGTGGGAGACCTACCTAATTAAGCATCACTAACATTTTGAATATAAAGTAGTTAATTCCCTGAAAAATAATTCAATTAATCACACTCTTATTAAGAAGGATGTATTTTCTTCTCATCGTAGAGGCATGTTGTAGTGCTACAACACTCAGGGAACAAAAAGCAGTGTTCTCCATGGAAAACACTGCATATGCCCCTGCATCAAAATTTTAAGAAAAGACTGCTCACAAAATTTAGCCTGATTCTAATAAAATTCCTGTCTAATTCTTCATTGCAGCCTCAGATTAAAGATAAAAGGAAAAAGATAGATAGATATACATACACACCATATATATAATTTAAAATATTCCAACTCAGTGACTGTCCTGGAGGGGCAGGAGTGAAATCTCAGGAACAGAGTTGTCTTGCAAGATATTAATTCCTCTTTAGTGGCAAATGGAAATGAGAGTATAGAGTACAGGGGTTTATGTCCCTAAAGAAAAAGTTATACATTAAATATAAAGAAATCTAGAAAAACTCTTGCAGAACCATCAAACAGAAGTCAAAAAAAATGCACTGATAAAAAAAAAAAATTAGTCCCTTAATATGTAAGAAAAATCCCTTCCTTTCCACTCCCTCAGCAGTAATTTGAAAGATCAAGTGTTAAAATAAGAATGCACCATATGAGGGGGGTGGTCAGAGGTAGAAAGATAGATCAGATACTTATTTTCATATAAAAAAGCCAAATACATTATTGCAGGCTACAAACTTGTTCTTTATTAGCTGGTGCCCTACCACAGAGCACTTGCTGGGGGGAGGGTAACTGTCATGTTCCACAGCTCAAGGCTGGGTTTAACTCTTAGTAAACTTACTATTTTGTATCGTTAGGATTTTGTTTTGTTACACTAGACACTGTATCATGATCAGCTGTTAAAAAAAATCTCCTGAGGTTTTTTACGGGAAGGTCAACAAAACTGACCTGGGGGGGGGGAAGCAAAAGAAGGTCTTCCTGTCATGTTACAAACTTCCTAAGACACCCAAAATACCTCCCAAACATCCAGGGGAAGAGCCAGAGCTGTGTTTAGTTATTTCAGACCTGACTGCCCCTTCCAAGTCTTTACTCATTTCGCTGACAGGAGAAGGAGTTGAACTGATCCCACATTTGCACCACCTCAGTGACACAGGGACAAGTCCATTCAGGTAATTATGGCATCCGGGGCACAGCAAAGCACACAGGAAAAAAGGGAATGGTGCATTTATTTTCCCTGGTTACTCCACCTGAGCTGAAGGAATCAAATCTGAACTCAAGACAACGGGCACCAAATTCACCCATGTTGCCACACACACAGATTCTGATTTTGTTCTATTCCATTAACTGAAGAACACATTATTAGCCATGTGAAATAATGCCTTCCCAACACAAGAAACGTGAAATTCGAGGTGATTTGTGCATTAAGAAGTTCCTCAGCACATACTCTGCCACATGATGTTCCAATTAATTCCAAGTAAGATTTGCTTCAATGAGAAGGAAAAGCAGCTCCTGGTGCTTTGCACACATTCCCAGGCTGCTGTCATGGCTGAATAGGCCCAAAGCCCGAGTTTTACACGGAGTATTTAATCCTGCAGCCTTTAAAAACAAAAATTAGGAATTTGGTGAGGTGAATAAAACGTGCTAATGTTAATTTTTAGAAAAAAAATATTTTTTAATTTAAATAAAAACCACAGAGCTCTCTTCTCAAGCAAGGCACAAGGCACAAGTTATTATTAATTCGAAATATTTCTTATTTCGGAAGAAAACTTGAGTTCCCAAACTAATACAGATCTGCATGTTGCACAGTGTTATACCACACTGCTTTAGTGCTGTTGGAGAATTAATCAGCTGTGTTTTGTTCCAGCCCAGGCAGCACAGCCCTGCTCACACACCAGTGGTGCCTCCAGGCTCCCCGGAGCAGCACCAGGGCCGGGCACACACAGAATGACATCAACAAGTTCTCTGAGAAACTTGGCCAACGCTCTAAAATAAACCCAGAAAATCCTTGCTGCCCACATTAACCAGTTTAAGGTAAACCACACACACTAAAGCTCAGAGAAGGCTTCTAAGTAAGATGAGTCTTCTGCCATAATAACCTGGTTTATCCTCCAGAATTATTTCAGGTTTCAATTCAGCCACGTCCTTCTCATCGTTCTGGTCCAACGTGACTCAATTCTAAAGATGAATTTATCTAAAATTCAACATTCACTTATTTCTCCATCTGTGGTTTCAAAGAGAAAGAAACTCATAATACAGGACTTTAAATCCATAATCTGTTCTATGCAAAGCATTCCATGGGCCCTGTCACTCACAGAGGGGAGCAGTGACCACATGGGTTTGAAGACACACTTGAAAATGGAGCAGAACAAGCTAAAGGCTCATTTATTCCCACTATAACCTGTAAATGCCTGCTCACAAATAAATCACAGGAGTGCTGGAACATTAAAACTGGTTTAGATGAGCTGCACAGGCACAGAGGGGGTTCCATGTGCACCAGAGCTGTGCTGTCCCTGCCACTGAAGGGTTCTCCTCCTTTCCCGACGATCCTCCTCTGCTGCTGGACCACGACAGCTACAGATTTAGAGCAGAATTGTGGAGGAGAAAAATAACTGCCCAGGGCACTGGGTTCTTTTCCCTCCGAAATTCCAGACTGAATGCCCTCAATCCAGAAGGGCTCCTCTCCAGCTGCCCAGCTCCATTATAATCCCTTAACATCAAGACAATTTGTTCCATTCCCTCGTTTTTGTTTTGCTGGCTTAACGAGTGCAGAATTTTAAAATATCATTTAATAATTATACCCTTTAGTGAACAAAAGTGCCAACATTACATCCTTTATTGCAATTCCTCTCAATTATGTAACTAAAAGACATGTCATTTTGCACATATTCTAACACCTCAATAAAAAAAAAAAAATAGTTTAAAAGAGGAATCTCACACTTCTCCCCCAAATGCAAATCACTTGTTAGAGAGGAGGAAAAATCCCCAAATATTACATTCTTACGTGTAAAAGGTAGAGACAAACATTTTAAATAATTTTAAAGACAGAACAGATGATAGGAATGTTGCTCTGACACCTTTTGCACAGGTTGTTCAAATACTAGACAGCAGTAAGAGGACAGCAGAAATACCTAACTAAATACAGACAAGTAATTCCTAAAAATGGGGGAAAAAAATCTTGTATAAAGAACAATTATGTATAGACAGTTAACAATTAAGCTTAAAAGCTTATAGCCTTCCTTATGCTACATAAAAATTTCCCAGACTGTGAAGAAGGTTTAAAATACATACCATCTACATCACCAATTCCACACCAAACCACTTTTTTTCCTTACTACTGTTTACAAATTATTCCTTTTTGTCGCTCCTCTGTACTTCCTAGGAGCCCTTTTCCTTCAGTGGTCAGAATAAATTTACTGTTTGTATGATTACGGCACAAAGTGTTTGACACTAAGCAGTAAAAAAATTTAAGAAGAGCCTTTCTGGGTTATCTTTTTTCCGCTAGAGAACTCCAGTTTCTCAACTCTGGAATTAATCACCTGTCAAACAAGGCGCTACGGTCAGTTTTCCTAAGCAATTCCACTCAGCATCTCAATAGCAGGTAAAAATCTATTGCAAAATAGAGCTCCTTAAACTTAACGAAATCACTGTGTTTCCAGCCAGAAACGGAACGGCCCCTTTCCCTCACGACTTCAGCCGCTGGACACAAACCCCTCCCGCTGCACCTCCAGCCTTGTCCCCCCGCACACAACACCCCGCGCTCGGTTCGCGCACACCGGGAGCGGTTCCCTCTCCCTCCTCCCATTCCCAGCGCACCTTCCTGCGGCGCCGAACTCCCGAGCCATTCCCGGCTGCCCCTGCCCGACCCCCGGCCGCTCCCGCCGCCGCATTCCAGGGACGGGCTCCCGGGGAGGCTTTTCCTGCGGGTTCGCCGTTCGCCTTCCCCCGCACAAAGCGTCCCTTCCCCGCGCCCCCGGGCCGCCACCCCGCCCTCCCCTCACGGCCCCCGGGCAGCGCCGCCGGCCCGGCCCGGCCATGTCCATCCCCTCCCTAAGGAAGTTCTGGGGAGGCCGCGGAAACTCGCCCACCTCGAAGCCCCCGGGGCGCCCCCGCCGCGCTCCCTCAGCGCGGGATGGGGGCGGCGGGGGGACCCTCCCTGCTTTGCTTCCCTTCCCTTCGCTTTGCTTCCCCCCCCTCCTCAGCCGCCCCTCGGCCGCTGCCCCGTCCCAGCGCGGCCCCCGGGTGAGGGGACACACCCCGCTGTGCCCCCGGGGCCGGGGCACGGGGCAGGAGGGGCGCAGGGCCCCGGGACCCCCCGCTCACCGCGCTGCCCGCCCGCTCCGCTCCCGCCGCGGCTCCTCCGGAGACACTGACACCGGCGCACGGATACCCACAGCGCTATTTTTGGGAAACGAGGCCCGGCCGCGGCCGGAACTACTTCCTCTGTCACTGTCACACACTCGCTCCCTCAGTATCCCTCCGCGCGCTTCTCCGCGCGGCGCCGCAGGCGCTCGGCGGGGCCGAGCCGGGGCGGGCCGGGGCGGGAGCGCCGGGAATGGCGGGGAGGGGCGCGGTGGCCCCGCGGCAGGGCAGGCACGGCCGCGCTCAGCGCAGGCGGCACCGCGGGATTATTTGGCGGGGCCGGGGAGCGGCCGGGCCTACATTCCTGCCCCTGGCCGGCCCCTGAGTGACAACGCGCACAGCCAATGACAGCGCGCACACGGGACAGCCCGCCAACCACGGAGCAGTTGGTGGGCGGGGCGCGGCGAAACGTGGAGGATTTGAGTGACAGCGGAGCACCCAATCAGAAAGGCGGCGAGGAAAGCGAAGGCCAATCAAAGCAGAGAGGGGGCGGGCTCGCCGCGGAGGCAGCGCTCCGCCTCCCCGGGCAGGGCGGCCGCGCGTGCGCAGAGCGCTACGCCGGGTGCGCCGGCGGTGACGCAACGGGCCGGGCCCGCCCCGAGCGGCGCGTGCGCAACGCGAGGCCTGGGGGGCCAAAGCGGGGCTGGGGGTAATTAAAACAACGCTCATTAAGTGGTCCCCCTTTGGGTCAACTAAAATAACCCCCATTAAGTGCTCCCGCATCGTCCTGCAAGCCCCGGTCCTCAGGCTTTAGCGGGAAACTACAGCAGTTACCCCGGTGAACAGCCCAGCTGCCCCTGGCACTCTCAGAAACCACCACCTCCCATATGTATACATATGTACATATATATATATACGCACTATACAGTATCTATATAAATATATAAATACTGTATAGTGTGTGTATATACTGTATATATATACACACTATTAAGAATATATATACATATATATACACCATATATAATATGTACACTACATAAATATATTACACATATATATACACGATTTTATATATATAATTATACAGTTGGTTAGGGTGTGGTGCCAATAACACCAAGGCTGTGGGTTTGATCCCTGTATGGGCCATTCACTTCAGAGCTGGACTTGATGATCCTCGTGGGTCCCTTCCAAGTCAGAACGTTCTGTGAAACCTGTAAAATATTATACTCTCTAAGTAAAAATACATATGTACGTGGTATATATAGTATATTTTATATTGTATATATATACTGTATATTTTATAGTGTGTGTATATATACTACACACTGTACATATGGAGATATATATTAGAGTGTGTGTATATATATACACTATATATAGTCTATATATATAGTATATACTATGTATATATATATTTATTATTGATATTTTTCTGACTGGCTTTCTGTGCCAATCCCAGCTCTCTGAGGACATGAGCTCTGTCTCCTTGTTCAGACTAAGGTGACAGTCCACCCTGATTCCCTCTCCATCCATCCCCACCTCCCATTATCCCTGTCAGAGCTCCCATTAATTTTGCTCCAAGAAGAAAAGACTCCTCGGGAATACATAATAAAAGGCATAAAATTGGCGTCTCTCTCCCTCACAGAAGGCGGCAGCTGAAGAGTGACCCAAAAATAAAATTTTGATGATAAAATGATACTTGCCAAAAAATCATCTGCTCTCTGCAGCTCCTCCAGATTTATCCTGCACGATTCCCGCAGCCTGGGAGGGGAATGACAGGAGCCATTTCACAGCACTAAATCACTGGTGCTGAGGGCACATCACTGCTCCAGGACACGAGGGCCAAAGGTGCCTCCTCTGAAAAACAGGGATCAGAGGGTGTTCTTTGCATCTGAAAACGTTACCACTAACTGAGAGCCAAAAAGTAGCTCCACAAAGGGTTGGAAAACAGGACGCAAGAAACGGTGACAGAATCTCCCATCTCACAGTGTGAGAACCACACCACTGGATGGAAAAAGGCAGATCCTCCATGATCACTCCCAAAAAACAAATGTAAGTTTTTATTGCCTGTTTCCAAGCATTCAGCTCAAACAGCAGCAGGAATTCACAGCTCTCAGAAATTCTGAGGTTTGTATGTCCAGTTTACTTGGGATTTAAAAATATGGCCAGTAAATAAGTTGAACAACTTCTGAAACATCCATCTTTTGTCCAAAACGGAGGTGCAAGGGTGGGCATTTCTTTTTGTGGATCCAGGGGAAAGCTTATAATCAGTGAGAAAGACAAATAATACAACACAAATCTTTTCCATCATATGTTCAGTCTGTTACTGAACTATAATAATCAGGACAAGATTTAAATCCATACAGTTTCCTTACAATTCTCAACATGAACAGTCCAAACATCATTGATTTTTATATGAATGTGATTTATTCTCTTCTTCCTCACTATACCTGTCATCCATAATATCTGTAAGGTCTTTTACTAAAATCCAGTGATTGATACCATGAAATCCTCTCCTGGCATCAACATGCTGAGATAAAATACTGAATATTTAAGTTGTAAAACTCAGTGGGAATCTGAGTAAGACACTGAAGCAAGGCCTGAGCAAGGACTTCTGGATATACTCATTAATTATTTCCAGTACATATTATTCCAAGCTGGCAAAAATAGAGCAGGAAGCCAAAGAGATAAATAATTGGTTCTAATCTGTCCTTTTCAGTGGCACTACAAGAATAAGCAGAAAGTGTTGCTTGAGGGATTTGTGTGTGCCTTGCAAACAATAGTCCAGGGGTGCAGAGCAGGGTCTTTCCCACTGAAATGGAAACACTGCCCTGTGTAACAATCGAGAAAAGGAAGTGCAAAATTTGGCATCCAGCTGAAATTCCAGATGTTTTCCACATGCTGCCACATCTGCTCCTGCTCCTTGGGGAACAAGGATGGGTGGTGGGGAGGTCACAGATGTTCTCACATGTCACAGTGGCAGCACTGAAAAACATCACCCCTCAGGGTGACACGAATGAAACCACAGAGGAATTTATGGATCAAAGGGACCAAAATCACCACCTGACTCAATGGCAACATTCTGTGTAAGGTTGAACTTCCAGGACAGCTGCAAAGGCCAAATTCACCTGGATAATCCAGGGGGAGCAAAGCTGTGGGTGATTAAGAGAAATCTACACTGCGGAGAGAAAATTACAATCTTGATGAGATGTGGAAGCAGCAACACAACAAAGCCCTGGAGAACATCAAACTGGAGTGTCAGTGTGAGCAGGGAAAAATTAGCACAAGCATCTGCTGGGATCACTCCTGAGAGATAAGTGAACAACCACTTGGATGTGTTTCTGCCCATCTTTTGTACAACCTAGAGACTGAAAAGAACCCCCTGAAATCTCTTCCCTTGGCCAAATGGCAGGCACTGTAATTTCCACGATATCCATGGAGAAATAAACTCAGAGCAATAGCAAATATAAAGAGAAATATATGAAAGGAAGATACCGGTGTTCTTAATTTTAACTAAATACCCTCAGAGTTGAATAGAGTCATCATCCAGCAGTTGTTATGGCAATAAAGCTTTCCCTTGCATCTCTATTCCAGTGCATTTCCACCCACCCATTCAAGGTATTTTGGAGGCACTACCAACCAAAATCACATCTCCACTAACCTTCAACTTACATTTTAGGACCTTCTTACAAAACACTCCAGAGATGTACCATGGCTGTTCTTCAAGTCTCCTTTCAAATGCTCCTTATGTTCCAGAAATCAGCTTTTTCATCCTGTGTCCTGGAGAAAAGAATCTCAGCCTCTTGTTTTTGGAGGTGAATGTTACATAAAAACAAAATGCAGGACTTCTAAAATCATAAATAATAAGAAGAGGGGATGTTAAGTACATACGTTTTGCATGTTTGACAAACAATTAAGTTACCCTTCAAGGGAAGGAGGGTCTAAGAACAAGGTTTTCAGAACAAGGTTTCTAACAAATCACAGGCCAGATTAATTCCTAACATTGTTTCCCTTACAATGGGGGAAATACTCTATGAATGAAGATTTTTGTAAAGGACTGGTGATTGCAACAAAACTGAATTGTACTCACGGCACTTCAGGATGGGAACTCAAACCAGAAACAAAGGACGGGGCAGGGGGACTCCCACCTAGGGAGCAGGAATTCAGGGAGGAGCAGACTGGTTCCTTGCCATTAGTGTAACCCTGTTAACCCCCTGGTCACCTCAGCGCACACACAGCCTGTCCTCTTGGAAAACTGGCCTGGAACAAACTCCCCTGAGCTCCCTGCCCGTGCTTGGGAGTGCTGCTGTTACACTCTTTGGCTCTGGACTTCCACTCCGGAGAGATAAAATCAAGTAAAGATTTCCTTATTTTAGTCAAGTCCAGATTGCCTGACAATGCACGAATTAAACTCCCTCAATCCACTCCATGAACTGCCCTCTGTAAACCACCAGTATTTCCACATCGTTATATGGTACACTCAGTAATCTGATTGCCTTGGGAATATTTGTTTTTCCAAAACTTGTGGCCAAGGTACATAAGATTAGATCAGACACAGCTTGTCTAAGAATGCCGTTCTGTGGGTGTACAGTATATTTGCTAGTTTTGAGTTACAGGTAAAAGTTCTCTTTCAAACTCTTCCAGCCAGGGGTGGGAGCTCATTTCCCTGGAGTTTTCCTGCTGCAGCACTTGGCACTTTTAGTTTTGCTTTGCCCCTGGTCCTCTAATGCTGGAGGATCAACACGGGAAATGCTGGAATTGCCTCACTGAGGGCACGCCCGGGCTGGACCTCAGCAAAACTTGGGATATTTTATCGGTCCCCGCAGGTCTCCCTGGGATTCACGCTCTTCTGCCGGGATTTTCTCACCGTCCTGCACCTTAACGTGAACCAACAGCTGGGTTTAGGAGATCTGATATAAATAGCACCATCCTGCTGCGAGCAAGCTTCTTGGAAAGTAAGGAAAATCCCTTATTTAATGCACTCTGACATTTGCCTTCCCTCCCCTTATTCCTGAGCTGCATTTCTGCAAACACCCATCGTGACAAACACTGAGGAGCTGAGCTCTTCACATGGACACCACAAGAGCTGCC